AGTCTCGATGAATGTGACCTCTATTCTTTGAAATCCCTGTTAATAGGAACAGTTTATCCCAATTCATACCATCAGATCCCCTCAAATTTGAATGCATCTATGAAATCATCCCTAAACCTTTTCTCTAAGGAGAATAATTGCTGCATCACCAGTCTGTGAAATTCTTGCATCCCTGGTCCCATTCCTGATTTTCTCTTCACCCTGTCTAATGCCTTGACACCTGTCTGAAAGGATGGTGCCTAGGATTCACCAGAGTTTAATATAGTGGAGGTATTTTTGCTTACAGCCTATGACTCTGTTTTATGAACTGCCCTTGTCAGCTTCAAAGCACGTTTACTAAAAATGATCCCATTGTCCAATGTCCTTGACAACTGCCTGCTGCAAAATTGGCTGCAGATCTGTTGATCTTTGTACATCAGAAAGAATCCAGACCTGGCAACATGTTGCTTTCCCTGTTGCATGCATTTGTTAACATTCACTGAGCTCACTCAGCTGCCAGACAGAACTGATGTACATTACTATTAAATATTAACAAATTAAGGTAGGTGAAGCAAAGACAACACTTGTCTGATACCCCTGCAGACTGTTGTATCTTTGAAGCTTACTGTATAATGTTTCAGTTTCTCAAAAACAAGAAAGTAGTTTACCTTTCTGTAGGTACATGAATGACTTTTTAGTTTGTTATGGTTTTGACTGGGATATGCAAGTGGCTCTCTGTGGCTAAGGTTTTCATACTATTGTGAGCAAGTGTAACTGGTGGAAAACGAGTAGTTACTTGCTTTCGGAGAAATATCTTTTGTCTGAACTGTCATATCTGCACATAAAACAAAAAGAAAATCCAAAGAAACAAAAGTGACAGGTTTCTGTGTTTAGCTCTTCTCATTTGGCCTGATGTCTCACTAGTTCAAGCAAGGTGTTGGTTTGCCTTTGAGACCTGGGTTACTTAGGGCATGAGAAAAATCATCTGCAGAAGCCCCCAAAAACTGATTGTGAAAGCTCCTGTTACTTGTGTGGTCCTCAAATGAATGTATTGCATACTTCCTCGTGCTGACACCATGGTGTATTATGCACATGTTCTGATGTAATTATTTTTCATGAAACAAATTAGCCAATTAAGTTGATTTAAGTAAACTTGACAATGTACATTTTGTTGGAAGTATCAGTTTATGGACTGTTATATCTTCTGCAGCAGGCAAATGATTTGTGTATCAATCCATATTAATAAATACATTGTCTTTTCTTCACAAATACTATTTCTCTCCTATTCAGCTTAATTAGATAAATCTCTTAGTTTAGCGCAAGTTACAGGAAATGACTCTATTTCAGATTTTAGACCCAAACGTAGAGCCTTCACCCATCCACTTCAAAGAGCTGGTTTGTTTGAATTTCTCTTTTATTTTAAGTGGGTCATAAACTGGAACACTGCCAGGCTATGACTGTTCTCATTGGCTCCCCAGAACATGTACACCAGTGAGTTCAGAGGTCATCAAAGTCGCATATGTAGAATTAGTTTGGTCAACAAAACGTTTGAATGCACAAATTGAATGATGATGATTTGCCAAATTCCTTTTTCTAAATTTTTTTTATTATTTGGGTTTTGGAATTGTGTATCGTGTTTTTGTAGAAGATGTTGTATTCCAATTTTATACACTTGCATAAAAAGCTATCTACCATTTGGAAGAAATTAGAATTGATGGTTGTCATGGCAAACAAAACAGTGGAGCTCACTGTCCTATTCTCATACTCCCATCTTCCTTTTTTGTTTTCCAATTTGTTGGTCAGCTCCCAGATTGGACGTGTCTCATTTTAATTTCAAGTTAAGATTGAGAAAGCACCTGTTTTTCATAACTCTTGCTGCTAAGGGCTCAGAGAATTGTAAGAACATAAGAGGAAGCCATTCTCACCATCATGCCCACACCAGCTCTTTTGAAGAGCAATCTGTGCCACCACCCTACATTCCTTCCACCATTTTCCTGCTACTTCTCTACTTTTATTGAATTTGATTTTTAATGTATTTTTCAATAATAGTGTAACTAACATATATTTGTGATCTTAAAATCATTCATTCCCTGGTCAGGAGTCAGTTGTGGCACAGTTGGTAGCACACTTGCCTTTAGGGTCACAAGGTTGTTGGTTCAAATCCCAGTCAAGGGCCTAAATTATCCTATTATATGACATTTTAAAAATCTAGGGAGCTCCCTCTGGTGTCCTGCACAATATGTATTCCTTCAATCATCACCAAAATCAAGATTATCTGGTTAATATCTCATTGCTGTTGTGGGACCTTCATGAGTGCAGATTAGGTGATGTTCCCACATGACAACACTTAAGACGTACTTAATTGGCTGTAAACTGCTTTTGGACATCTGCTAGTTGTGAAAGATGCAATAAGAATGCAGTTTTTTCTGGTCATTTATGTGTTGGAAGTGAAGATTAGAGATTTTTCGAGGGTGCTTATTCTGTGCAGTTTTCAACTTTTTTGTTTTACAGTAGTCAAGTGTTTATTATTGGTCCAGCCAATCACTAGTTAAACATTCGTGCAGAAAGTAGGTTTATTGGAACTTGGATTTACAGCAAGCTTCATGTAAAGTGAGCAATATTTCTTCTTCCTGATTTTTGTTGTGATAGAAATATTTTCACATTATTAAGTGATCCTCATTATTTAAACAGGGATGGGTATCTAGATAACAAAGAGCAATACAGTACACGAACAGGCCCTTCGTCTCTCCAAGCCTGAGCAGACACATTTTGCCCTTCCATACTAAAACTGTCTTCACTTACAGGATCCATTTCCCTCTATTCCCTTACTATTCATGTATTTGTCCAGGTGTTTCTTGAATGCTGCTATTTTGTCTGCTTCCACCACCTCCTCTGGCAGTGCGTTCCAGGCACTCACCACCCTTTATGCAAAAAACTTGCCTCACACATCTCTTTTAAAGATCACCCCTCGCGCCTTGAACCTGTGTCCCCCAGTAGTTGACCCCTCCACCCAGGGAAAAGGCCTCATACTTTCCACTGTATCCATGCCATTCACAATCTTATAAACTTCTTTTAGGTCACCCCTCAACCTCCTGCTTTCCAGTGAAAACAAGCCCAGTCTAGGCAGTCTTGCTTCATAGGTAAAATCCCACATACCAGGCAACATCCATGTAAACCTTTTCTGTACCCTGTCCAAAGCGTCCACATTCTTCTGGTAATGTTGTGACCAGAACTGTATGCAATATTCCAAGTGTGGCATAACTAAAGTTCTATAAAGCTGCAGTATAACTCGTCTATCCTTATGCTCAGTGCCCCTTCCGATGAAGGCAAGCATGCCATGAGCTTTTTTACTACCTTATCTACCTGTGCTGCCACCTTCAGTGATACCTCTGCATATCAATACTCCTAAGGGTTTTGCCATTCACTGTATAATTTCGACCTGTACTTGACCTTCCATATTGCATCAGCTCACATCTGGATTAAACTCCATCTGCCATTTTTCTGCCCATGCCTCCAACTAATTTATATCCTGTTGTATCCTTGACAATCCTCCTCACCATCCGCAACTCCACCAATCTTTGTATCATTCACAAACCTACTAATTAGACCAGCTACATATGGGAGAACCGTCCACGTTGAACTGCATAATTCGGTACATATCAAAATCATGGTAATGGTGATAGAACTAAGTGATTATAACCATCAGGAAAGATTGGGGTCTTTGTACTTGAAAAAAGAAGATTAAAGGGTAACCTATGGTAGGGTAGATATTGAGAGACTGGGTAGATTGGACTTAACTCTTTGAACATTAGTGGAATGAGATTGATCTCATTGATGTATATAGAGGATGAAAAATCATTAGGCAAAATCTGATTTTCCATGCATTTTTATTTCCAACTGACTTGAAAAATTTTGGCACCATTTTTAAATTCAAACAAGGATATGGTCCACAAAAACAGTTTCACCTATCATCCTGTGAACTTCAGTGGAAGAAAGATTGAATACAATGAAAAATTAACTGTGAATTCACTGCATGCTAGTTTCACACCACTGACGAAGATGAGATTCACCCCAATGAGGGGTAAGCGGTGGGGCTGGTGCTTAACAGGGTAGGCGCTGAGATTCTGTTTCCCCTAGTTGGAGAGTATAGACCACAGATGTGGACTCCAGATAAGAGATCTGTCATTCAGGACTGAGATGAGGAACAACAGCTGTCAGAGTTTTTGGAATGCTCTATCCCAAGGGGATGTGAATACTCCCTTATTAAGGATATTAAAGACTGATGTCTTTTGATTTTTGGACTCAGAAAAATCGAGGGAGATGTGGATCTGGTGACAAAGTGCAATTTAAGTCAAGATACAGCTATGGTTTTTGAGTAAAATAGACTCAACAGGGCTTGTGGTCTACTTCTGCTCATATTTTGTATATCCTTTATGGTTTTAAGACGTTTCCACTTGTGAGGGAGACTGGAATTTATGATCATTAATATATGATAACCATGAATAGATCCAGTAGTAAATTCAGAAGCAGCTTGTTTACCCAAAGAGTGCTATAAAATATGGAATTCATTCCCACAAGAAATTGGAGAGGTAGGTAGCTTGGATGCATTAAAGGGAATGTTGGATAAGTTTGTGAAGCAGAAAAGAGAAGGATAGGGTAAGATGAAGAGAATAGGGAGGAGCTTATGTGGAGCATATAGACCAGTTGGGCTGAATGGCCCTATTTATGCACTATACCTTAATTAGTTCTGTGCATGTAAAGGACATAACTGAACTCTGGAAACATAACTTGTGTCAAATACTTCACTGTGCTTGCAATTTTCCAACAAAACCGATCTCTTGTCTTATATGACATGTTATCCTATCATTGTTAATATTAAAGTCCAGTACATTCTTACATCTCTACATCGCAAGGTGCTGTTATCCACTCACTAAATATTTGAGGTTCTTCTCACAGGATAAGGCAGCTTTGGTGGGAATATGCTAGTTTTAAATATTGACAGATGCTTTATTCTATTTCAGCAACTGCGGGAATTGATAGCGGAACATAAGCCTCACATAGATAAGATGAATAAAACTGGACCTCAGTTACTGGAGTTAAGCCCTCGGGAAGGTTTAGGCATCCAGCAGAAGTACACAGCAGCTGATGCACTTTACAGTAAGATCAAAGAGGATGTCAAGCGAAGAGCCACCTCACTGGACGAAGCCATTTCTCAATCTACTCAGGTATGAACTGCATAGCCATTAAACTGACCTGATTGCTATTATTTTCCACATGACAGCTTTCTATTAAACTAAAGTGGACCCTTCAGTCTAACTAGTCCATGCTGACCACATTCCCAAACTAAACTAGTCCCACTTGCCTGTATTTGGGCCGTATGCCTCCAAACCTTTTCTATTTATATACTTATCTAAACGTCTGTTAAAATTTGTAACCGAACCTGCATCCACTACTTCCTCTAGCAGTTCATTCCAGACACAAACCACTCTCTGTGTAAAAATGTTGTCCCTCATATCCCTTTTAAAAGTTCCTCTTCTCACCTTAAAAATATGCACCCTAGTTTTGAATCCAACCCCTTGCACCCCACCTCCCCCCATTCTTCCTATAGCAGGGCTACCAAAACAAAGTACTCCAGAAGAGGCTTCACCAACATCCTGTATAACCTCAACTTGACATCCCAACTCCTATACTCGGTGGTCTGACCAATGAAGGCATGCTAAACGCCTTCTTAACCACCCTGTCTACCTGTGATGCAAATTTCAGAGAATTATGTGCCTTAACCCCTAGCTCTCTCTGTTCTACAACACTACCCAGGGCCCTACCATTAACTGTATAAAGCCTGCCCTTGTTTGTTTTACCAAAATGCAACACCTCGCATTTATCCAAATTAAACTCCATCTGTCACTCCTCAGCCCATTCACCCAATTGATGAAGATCTCTTTGTAATCTTAGATAACCTTCTTCACTGTCCACTATACCACCAATGTTGGTGTCATCTGCATACTTACTAACCATTCCTCCTAAATTCTGATCCAAATTTGTCATACAAATGACAAACAAAAGTGGATTCAGTACCGATCTCTGTGGAACACCACTGGCCACAGGCCTCCAGTCAGAAAAACAACCCTCCACCACCACTTCTGTCTCCTACCGTCAAGCCAATTTCATTTTCAGTTGGCAAGCTCACCCTGAATCCCACGTGATCTAACTTTACTAATAAGTCTACTATGTGAAACCTTGTCAAAGGCTTTACTAAAGCCAAATGTAGACAACATCTACCACTCTGCCCTCATCAATCTGCTACATCCTCAAAAAACTCAGTCAAGTTTATGAGACACTATATCCTATGCACAAACCATGCTAACCATCCCTAATCAGTTCTTGTTTCTCCAAATACATGTAAATCTTATCTCTCAGAATCACCTCCAACAACTTACCCACTTACCCACTCATACTTTTCTTTTGGTTATCTTACATATTTTTCTATATTACAAATTTCTGAAATTAACCTTTATTTTCTTTTTTTCTTTCATCTGAACTGTCACCTTTCTGCTCCCGTATCATCAATAAATCTTTTAACTTTCCCAAACATTGTGTTGTGCCATAAAATGATCATCCAGGTTTTGGAGGTGAGCTTACACATTTGTGATTGTGTGTGTGTGTGTGTTTCTTCCCCTGCCCTTATTGGTTTTAACATTGTTGCTTGTAATTTATTTAGTTATTTTGTTTAAAAAATATTATGTAGTAATTGGTGGTTAGCTTTGATCATTAGCTATCAATATGATAGATGCATCCGTTAAAAAAGCCACCAAGTTGAATAACAGCTTTCTAATATCCCTTCTTCCAAGCTACTGACCTACAAGTTTAACATTTGAAGCTGCTTGTCTGTCTTACTGTGGTGAAAAGTATTGGAAAACCAGTGGAAAATGCTCATGTGCACTCTAGTTCACATGCTAATGCCCAGTGTGAATCACTTCTAGGCTTTCCAGCTATCTTGATTTCTCCCTAAGGAGAGATGTTTCTGGAGCTTGCTATACTGAATGCCTGAATACCAAAGGTTCTCTTAATTTGGAATTCTATTTTTCCCAGTTGTGAGTCATAAGGCATTAGTTTCTGATGTTAGGTTACTGATAAACTTTCATCTTTTATGATTGACATTGAAACTTGTTGTGACCCTGTACTTTGCTGGCCCACTTGTCTCCCCAGTGCATCCTTTTCCTCTTGACCTTTCCTCTTCCTGTCATTTTCTCTGTCTTCCTTCTTTCCTCTCTGTCTCTCTACCACCCCGCTTGCCCCAAGTGTCCCTGTTTCCCCCCCTCACCCTATTTGTCCCTCTTCCCACCCCTTACCCTGTCTGTCTCTGTCCTCCCTTCCGCCCCCTCGGTTCCTGTTCATCCCCCTTGCTCTCTCAGTCCCTGTTCATCCCCCTTGCTCTCTCAGTCCCTGTTCAACCCCCTTGCTCTCTCAGTC